TTTATGTTTAATATCATCACCAAGTGACTGAAAATGTAAGGATATTAAAAGTACATTTCTATATTGTTTGGATTCTAATCCTAGCATGATTAATCTATTGTGATGTTTTTAAGCCCTTTTGTCCGTCTTCGTCATTTTTAGTCAATCTGTTAAATAAATGAACAGATTTTGCAGTCAATCGCCTGAAATATTTAGACATTCTATAGATTGCCTGAGTGAATCATATGTTACACATTGACTGTAACATATACACGCATACAAAGGAAAAGACTTGTGAAAACAACGTCTATCGCGCATCGAAGAACTTCCCAACCAAGACGTAGAGGAACAAGAATGATTATGTTCAATGCTACAGCAAATGAATGAAAACAAAATGCAAATATCATAATTACAACCTACCAAAGTTATATGTATATTGTTTTTGAGCTGCCTTGTTCGAGGAATGCAACCGTAAATATTCACATAAAGGAACAATATTCCACATATCTGCAGCTGTACAAAGACATTTATTGGATGTCACGTGTCTCTGTAACAATCAAATATTTCAAAATATATTTATCGTTTCGGGATATTATAACCCGTGTTTGGTTTCTCAACTGTATCTAATATCAGTGCTGTACGGAAAGGGATGTATGTGATTACAATGTATTGTATGGAAAGACATATATGCAATAACAATGTGTTATACGGAGAGGAATGTATGTAATAACACTGTGCTGTATGGAAAGGAACGTATGTGATAGCACTGTGCTGTACGGAATGACGTGTAGGTAATAACACTGTGCTGTATGGAATGGCATTCATGAAATAACACTGTGCTGTATGGAATGGTATGTATGCAATAACACTGTGCTTTGTGGAATGGCATGTATGTAATAACACTGTTCTTTACGGAATGGCATGAATGTAATAACACTGTGGTGTATGGAAAGGCATGTAGGTAATAACACTGTCCTGTATGGAAAGGCATGTAGGTAATAACACTGTGCTGTTTGGAAAGGCATGCATGTGATAACACATTTATCTATGAAGCGGTTTGACTATATTATCATTGTGGTGTATGGAAAGACATGCAGGTAATAACACTGTGCTGTATGGCATGGCATGTTTGTAATAACACTGTCCGATATGGAAAGGCATGTATGTAATAACACTGTGCTGTATGGAAAGGCATGAAGGTAATAGCACGTGCTCTATGGAAAAGGTATGTGTGTAATAACACTGTGTTGTATGGAAAAGCATAGATGTAATAACACTATGCTGTATGCTGTATGGAAAGACGTGTATGTAATAACACTGTGCTGTATGGAATAGCATGGATGTATTAACACTGTGCTGTATAGAAAGGCATGCAGGTAATAACTCTGTGCTGTATGGAATGGCATGTATGTAATAACACTGTGCTGTATGGAAAAGCATAGATGTAATAACACTGTGCTATATGGAAATACGTGTATGTAATAACACTGTGGTGTACATGATAAAACCTCTTCAACAAGCCTGGCATGCATTGAGAACACGTCTCCCAAAGTAACATTATGTGTGGACATGCCGGGGCTCAATTGTATGTGTACATGTGTTGATATTTTTCTTTCACAAGGCTTCTCAGATACTGGCGTATTTTCTCATATGAGGATTGAGGCATGAAGCTCGTCGTTTCTATAAGGAGACGGTTATTTTTTCTAAAAACACGGTTTCGCAAAGTCAAGGCTGTTCGAAAGTCATGGAATACTGGATATCCTGTAAGAATGATATGCGTTTCATGGACAATACTCCTTGGATTTAGAAACAGTGCAGGTGAGCGTGGACATTCGTGCACCAATTCATGGCGTATCTCATGAGATTTTATATATAGGACAGGTTTTAAAAGGAAAAACTTGAACCTAAGATGCGTTTTTATGACAAACACATATGAGGTGTTGAGATAGAGAAGAGATCGGATTGGGAAACGAGCTCGTGAATTTGGCTGCCAATGTTCATTGTTTGATCAGCTGGATATCGACCTGGTATTGCTCATTTATGATCACCAAGGGTTCTGTGGCAGGCTTATCCGATGTTTTCTTTGTTTCATCGAAAACTGGAACAACATGGTCTTAAAACATGTCACTACAATGTTTCAACGAAAACTAGAACAACATGGTCTTAAAACATGTCACTACAATGTTTCAACGAAAAATAGAACAACATAGTCTTAAAACATGTTACTACAATGTTTCAGTGAGTGAGTGAGTGAGTGAGTTGGGTTTAACGCCGCGTTTAACATTATTCCAGTTGTATCACTGCGTGTCAGCTTAATGTGGGAGGAAAGCCCGAAGTGATGCAGGTCTCAGACGTTTACCACTTCGGTGAAACCCACGAACGGTATGCTGCTGACAAACCTAGAAACATAATTGGGGTGAACCTGGATTCGAACCCACAATAATAGGTTTCTGGCGTGTCCAGGGGACGCAACTCTGCACAGCGAATCGCGGCCCCCTAAAATGTTTCAACGAAAACTAGAACAACATGACCTTAAGACATGTAACTGCAATGTTTCAACGAAAACTAGAACAAAATGGTCTGAAAACATGCTACTACAATGTTTCAACGAAAACTAGAACAACATGGTCTGAAAACCTTCAAACCTTTTATTGATAGCAGACTTTCCTCCATCCATCCGAATTGAGCGTGCTGTTTTTTCAAACTGACCTGAGTCACCTGGACTCAGCTATCCTTGGCGACATCAAACCAGTTTATTTATTTATCTAATGCGTTTCTAAACAGTCGACAGCTCCTTTGTTTCATTGCGTTAACATCATGCACAGTATTATTACACACATGCCTGTCTGAGTCACGACTCGGATTGTAGTAAGCACGTTCCTGCTGGGATACGCATTACTGCCCCTTGTTCTCACTTAACCCTCATGGTGCCCGCCCGTCATTACCGCCCCTTGTTCTCACTTAACCCTCATGGTGCCTGGCCGTCATTACTGCCCCTTGTTCTCACTTAACCCTCATGGTGCCTGGCCGTCATTACTGCCCCTTGTTCTCACTTAACCCTCATGGTGCCTGGCCGTCACCTGGCTGTGTAAACCGCTCAGTACCGCACTGTGATGACGTCGCGGTTTCAAAAACGTATACGTTGCATAAAAAGTGTTCCAATGTTCTTATGTCTTCACACAGCGTAACCAAATTTTATAACATTCAACTCGAGTTGATTGTCTTTCCAACAGCATCTACAGTAAAAACTCCAAGGATCAATGCACTGCCGAGCCATCGATAGAAGTGCTGGTATTGTCAGTTTCCTACGTTTTTTTATTAATCGCGATATGGAAGCACCCGAATGAAATTGTCCGTGTTTTTGACGTCAAAACAAAATTGACGGAAGTAGTCGTGATTAGTTCATACGCAGACAGTTTCAATGATTATGTTACAATACGAATGGCAGTTTGGAATATATAATATATATAATGTTCATTATATAATTGTAAAATGTTATTAATTACGTTTACATTTGTTATTGCAAATAGTTTATTTCAAAATACTGACTTATGTTATTTCTTTATTAAATAAAAGAATGTCACAAATTACGTCATAGGGTGGAGTGACGTATTTGTAAACTTTGTGCTGCAGGGTCCCGATCCACAAAGCGATCGTAGCGCAGCGAGAGTCATAAGTTTATGTTAAAGTATGGGAGTTACAATCATCTCAGCACCTGAAGTCGAAAGGTAGACCGTTGTATGGTATTCATATAATAAATATCAACTTTTAATGCGTTTGAAGTATTATTCTGTTAAACTCAATTGGGTGATGCTGTTCATAGCGTAGATCTCTGCCGCCTATAAACACACGACGATGGCTTTATGAAAAATAGTACACGGCAAGTAATGAATAAAACACCAAACTCGGACCCGTGTAATACCAATTTTATGAAACTCGTTTCATAGTTTCATAGCTTCATAGACGAATTTTCGCTCTTCAGATACCAGAACAATTTACTCATTTCATAAAACTGGCATTACAAGGGAGCTCTTTAAGTATTCTATATAGTATGAATGTATCACGTCACAAGCGAATATGTATTTGTCAGGTTACAAACGAATATGTATGTGTCATGTCACAAACTGATATGAATGTGTCACTTCACAAAAAAAAGAATATGTATGTGTCACAAACGAATATGTACGTCACGTCACAAACGAATATGTATGTGTCACGTCACAAACGAATATGTATGTGTCACAAACGAATATGTATATGTCACGTCACAAACGAATATGTATGTGTCACGTTACAAACGAATATGAATGTGTCACGTCACAAACGAATATGTATGTGTCACGTCACAAACGATTATGTATGTCACATCACAAACGAATATGAATGTCACGTCACAAACGAATATGTATGTGTCACGTCACAAACTGATAGGAATGTGTCACGTCACAAACTGATAGGAATGTCACGTCACAAACGAATATGTATGTGTCACGTCACAAACTGATAGGAATGTGTCACTTCACAAACTGATAGGAATGTGTCACGTTACAAACGAATATGTATGTGTCACGTCACAAACTGAAAGGAATGTGTCACGTCACAAACTGATAGAAATGTGTCACGTCACAAACGAATATGAATTTGTCACGGTCACAAACGAATATATATGTGTCACGTCACAAACGAATATGTATGTGTCACTTCACAAACAAAAATGAATATGTCACGTCACAAAATAATATGAATGTGTCACGTCACAAACGAATATGTATGTCACGTCACAAACGAATATGAATTTGTCACGTCACAAACGAATATGTATGTGTCAACAATGCCAGTGCTCACGTGAAATCATTATTAAAGATAAATGTATTCCAATTAACAAGCTTATTGTGAATTCTATTGCTAAAACATATTGATATTTTGATATGTATATACATGTGTATATATGTTCTAAAGCATGCTCCAAGTTGAACTATTTGTAATTTGTAGTAACTTCGCTCCTGTTTCTTTCACAGGTCTGATTGGAAAGTGGATGACAGAGGCGATCAACGCTTCTTCAGAAGACAATGAGTACGTTTTTGTCATCCCCACTAGATTGGAATGAGAACAGCATATCGGATTTATGACTTGGTGTCATTATTTAAAATATTCCGATCAGGGTTCCAACACGTTGATGTCAATCACGCAATCACGTACAATCGACAAAGTCAACTCTTTGGGATGAAAATAAATAATCAGCGATTTCTGCCCAGTGGAACGGTTTTATCATAGATGAGTGAGCAATGTCAATTATAGTGAGTATGGTTTTACGCCGCTTTTAGCAATATTCCAGCAATATCATGGCGGGGGACACCAGAAATGTACTTCACACATTGTACCCATATGGTCGCGGGTGGTACAGTGACGTGGTGATAGTTTCGTGTGTGGCAGAGTGACGTGGATCTATTGTCGCAGGTGGCACAGTAACGTTAAATATTGTCACTGGAGACGACGTTGCAGTGGCACGGTGACATGGGCTATTGTCGGCATAGTGACATTGGAGCTATTGTCACGTGCAGCCTAGTCACGTGGGGCTATTGTCACGTGCTGCCCTGTCATATGGGGGGTATTGAAACATTCTTTTTTTAAATTACAGCATTGACTTGTATTAGCAGCGATCAGTTCAAAACGTTCATTTGTTAACATTTCATAACATTCATTTAATGACATGACGTTTATAACTCTTTTTTTATCACTGTTTATCAAATGCATGTTCACATGTATTTAGCAGTTCATGACTTACACACAGGGAGATGTGTAGTCAGTGATTTAGAAAGCTTGTAGCTTTTATGGAAATTCTGAGAGTCGCCCTCAGAGAGACTTTCCTCGGCATTTACGGTAAATTATGTGCTACTTACAGAAATATAGAATTCTTTGACTTTGAAACGAACATAACATTCGATATGTAAGTCGATGTCATTTCAGTATATAGCACGTCATGTGGTGTACTTATTAAGTGTAGGTTACATACCTATATAGCAGACAGTAAATTCTAGTTGGCTACAGGTGTACAACAATGTTCACAAATAGTGAAACGAGCAGGCTCTATTTGCCATGCTTATTAACTAAGTGTGAAGCAAAATCCTTACAGCACATTAGTGGAAATTGTTCATGTTCAAAATAGAGACATATTAACAAGACAATTCATTTGCTAAATTTTTCAATTTGATCAAAGTCTTCAGAAAGTTTTCAAGTGACAATTTGTTTTTCTTAATACTTGATACATGTATATATTTTTTGTATGCCAGTATGATGTATTTTAAGTAAGTAATTTTACATGTTTTGTACAGTTTCTGTATCTGATAAAAACATCCTTCCACGATATATGGATATAAGTCAAGAATGGTATCCTATTTTTCACATACTGTTGGGAGAATTGCTGTAGTTATAGTCTTATCATAAAAATATCTGGAGCGCTACAAGTAAATCTATCAAAGTTGCATTTAAATGTTGATTATATAAAATAATGTGATTATTTCTATTAGTATCTTTCCAAGATTTTGGTATGATTTTTGAACCTGGTAATAGTCAATAATTGTGCCTTTAACTTGGTATTTTGTCTGAAGTTCATTGAAGGGCGTTATATCACCTTCATTACAGATATCCTTAATAGTGTAAATTCCCTTTAAAAACAATTTCTTATAATGAAATCATTTTTTTTAAACTGATGGTTACCCCAAAGAGGTTCTGATAGTACTTCTTCATTGTTTGTGGAGTTAGTTTTGTGTCTTCTATACAATGTTCCCCAAGCAGCCAAAACATCTATTCAGTAAGGGTTAGCTAAGTGGATACATTTTGTAATATTGGCCCCAAGTAGGAAATTGTTTTTCAGTGGAGAGATGCTAGGGTTATACACTTTTTGTTTTGAAGATGTTTTTGAGAACTGACAGTTTTAGAGAAATTTAAATTCCTCACCTCTATAATTCTCAGTCCGCCTTCGTCACATTTTCTTATTGAAGTTGTTCGTTTTATTTTGTCCCCTTTGTCATTCCAGATGAATCTGTACAATATGTTGTTTAGTTCATCAATAAATTCACTTTTGCTCTATATATCCATATTCTAAGATCCTTCCAGAAAAAAATGAAAAACTCTACAGGGAATCTATCAATACCTGGGCTTTTGTTATTTTTCATAGATTTTACGGCCTTTGTTATTTCATTCATGTTAATCAGGTCTTCTAAATAATCAAACTGTGATTGAATAAGTTTTGGTGTGTTAAGTTTGTGTAATAAATGTTTGGATTCCTTAGTTATTTCTTCACTTGAAGAGCAAAGTTTCTCATAAAAATGTCTTTGTCCAGTTAAGATGGATTGTCTATCGGTTATTGAATCCCCTTTTTCAGATATAATACTGTTAATTAGTTTACTGGTATAGTTCCTGTTTTCAAGATGACAAAAATATTTTGATGGTTTCTCTCCCTCCTCGTACCACTGGATTCTGTTTCTTATTTGAAATCCCTTTGATTCTTCTTTTAATGTTTCTAAGAAAAGAAGGTATCACTGATTTTTAATTTAAGTTTTGGTGTTCAGTTTTTATGGTTCATCTTTGGAACATTTACTGTTTGAACATTTTAGCTTTGTTTCTTCTAGTGTATCGTTCACTATTTGGATATATTGATTGTTAAACAATACAGAAGTATTTAACTTCTGGTAGTCCCTACCTTTTTCTTTTGCTAATTGTATTTGAAAAGTCAGTGTTATTGCAAAGTGATTGGATTTGCATCCTGGGGTCATTGTAGAATCAATAGTTATATTTGCAATGTTTTGTGAGACCAAAAAGAAGTCCAGCTTGTTGTTTTGGCTTTTTCTTTCACCATGTGTATTTTTTTGCATCTATATTTTTCTCTCTCAAATATCAATTAGATCAAAGCTTTTTTTTTTTTTCAAGTACTTACTTTATTGCTTTGGGATTGTTGATATGTTTATAATTTTCCAAATCGACATATGGATTGAGTACCAAGTTCCGTCACAGGGCAATGCAAAAAGGACAAAGTCTTCACGACGAAGAATTTCATTCGTCAACCAAATTCAATGATAAGGGTGTGACTTGAGCACCGAAACTGACTTAAAGCGATGCGATATAAGCATTACTATTTTACACAAGATAAATACATTTCATAAGTAACATATTAACCATAATATTGAAATCCAATTGAAATGAGAATATTTTATTGCACCTTGCTTGATTGTCAATATCAACTCATCTCTGACTAATACTAATAGAAATAGAACTGATATGTCAAGCACCACACAAATACAGAATCAGATAAACGAAGTACAGGTACACAGCAACTAATGTATCCAGGTGAGCTACCTATTTTAACACTGATATACTATTGGAATAGTAGTGGTGATATTTATATATGTATTTTCTCATCCATTCATAAATGAAATGCAAAGTTTATTTTCACATTATTTGTATGGAAAGGGTCACTGTATGACTTGTAATATTTCAGGTATCCATTAAGCAATGTCATTGGAGCTTCTGCCTCTGTCTGGAAGCCAAGGTCGGACGATGCAGCTCCGTGGATTGAGGTGAATATTATCGTTAGCATTATGTTGTCACTCGAGAACTTCATCGAAAACATCACTTACAATGTATCTTAGTTGGTGTAGTGTCTACACAAAACATGTCGCACTCAAATCTATTATATAAAAAAAATTACATATTAGCTTGACTCGTTATGCATGTTTGTCATTTATAGGAAAATACGCTTCAGGAAACTGTGGGAATCGCCGACACATGTAAATCTAATACACTTATTAAGTAACACCCATCCTGGCAGCAGGGGTATATTGACCGCTGGGATGTGATTGCCTGTGGGTGAAGAATAATGCCCGTCTGTCATTGCCAGTAAAGCAAAAGAGGCTCCAAGTGCAGTTGGCTTCTTCTATTGTTCACAGTGATGTCAGTGACTTATCAGTCTGTGAGGCCACTGTGCGTCAACCGCTATGTCCACAATAGTCTAGGTTCAGTATATGGAATTTAGTTTCCAACACTTTCCCTCCCAGAAAACATTTTCCCCAAACTTTCATAATTGTGTGATGCATGTGTAAAACTACCCACAACAACATTGTTTACAGAGCATGGTTTGATAACTTTAGGATACGAACATAGGTTCAATCAGAGTTACTGTTAAGTGCTCCAAGTGATTACTACAGATCCAGAATATACAGATAAAAATACAACTGGAAACATGCAATACAAATGATTCTATCATGACATTTATTATTCTGCATTCTGACTGTTTCGCCAGCGGTATCGAATCTACGCAGGACTTTGCTTCTGCTAATGATCGCATCAATTGAGATGAAACTATTTCTTTGAAAGCGGTTTTCTGAAACCCGAACGGTAGTAAATTTGAAATACCGATTTTACTAAACAAATGTTGCGGAACAAAGTGTTCGAGATCCAGATTATTTATAGCAAATGTGGCAATATGTTTTCGGGTGAGAAATCCGACGAAGAACGTCTTAGAAAGGGTGTGTTAAGTTCAGTTCCATTAACACAGTTTGACATTAATTTTCAGCGCTCATTTTTAACGTCCTGTGACGTCATGTCTATCGCTTCATAACACGAGGGTGGTGTGTACAAGTTGCAAGGGTCGTTTTGAAAAAGTTTTAAACAGTATGTGTGGTAGATAGTTCTAGTGTCTCTTAGTGAAAACATTTTAGTATTATGGTGTTAATTATGTTTTGAGTAAACACAATCAAACATTCTCGGATTAATGCTTACTTATCCCTTAAGTTGACCATTCAGCCTATTTTAAATATTAGACTTAACCCATGCCACGTCACTTATCACCTCAGTATTACGAAATCGTTCGAGATTATTACATATTAAATGTATCAACGATGTATTGTTGTTTTCGCCGGACAAAGAGTTTAGTAGGAAAAACAAATTTGGAGGTGTTTTGTTTAAGATGACGCATTCAGTAAATTAAACTGTTTTCTCTTCAACAGGTTGGGATAGATACTTTCCTCTACTTTGCTATGGTTCAAATCTCGCCCGACATCTCTACCTTCACGAAGAACATCTGGTTTCGAGACTCCAACAGGAACTGGATGGTGACATGGACGAAGAATGATGACGATGAGGCATTCATTGTGGGATTCTTTATTCCACACTGTCAAGTTAGTTTCATATTGTACATGTTGAATCGTTGCCAATCTTAACACAGTTTGCATTCATCCGTCTGAATGAGAAGAAAAATGTCCATCCCTTTTGGGGATAGGTATTTTCACGATTACGGCTTGACAAAAAGTAAAGTTAGTTTCATAGTGTAAGAAGTTGCTAGTTTTACCATCGGTAGTTTTAACATTGACGAGACAATTGTCCATGCAGTTGGTGCTAACCACAAGTACGATTTTATAGAAAGTAATAATCTGCATATCTGTCATTTGTTGAAGTTAGTTAATTCCAACATACAAACATTTCTCGAGAACTGTGACATCGACCTGTGATCCCTAGACACTGTGCTGGGGACGTTTACATAACTGTACATCGCCCTGTAACGCATTAATGTCTGATCCCTAGGGATCATGCTGGGGAGGTTTACATGACTGTAAATCGACCATTAACACATTCATGTGTGATCCCTAGGGACCGGGCTTGGGCGATTTATATAACTGTACATCGCCCTGTCACACTTTCATGTGTGATCCCTAGGTACCGCGCTGGGAACGTTTACATTACTGTACATCGTCCTGTCACACATTCATGTGTGATCCCTAGGGACTGTATGGGGCCGTTTATATAGCTGTACATCGCCCTGTCACACTTTCATGTGTGATCCCTAGGGACCGTGCTGGGAACGTTTACATACATGTAACTGTACATCGCCTGGTCACACATTCATGTGTGATCCCTAGGGACTGTATGGGGCCGTTTATATAGCTGTACATCGCCTGGTCACACATTCATGTGTGATCCCTAGGGACCGTGCCGGGGTCGTTTAAAAAACTGCACACGGAACTGTAACATAGCTATGTGTGATGCCTAGGGACTGTACTGGGTATGTTTACATAACTGTACATCGCCCTGTCACACTTTCATGTGTGATCCCTAGGGACTATACTGGGGATGTTTACATCAAAGTGCATCGACCTTTAACATAGTCATACATGTATGTGATCCCTAGGGACTGTACTGGGTATGTTTACATCACTGTATATCGACCTTTCAGATAGTCATGTGTGGTCCCTAGGGACTGTACTGAGGCAGTTTACATCACTGTACATCGACCTGTAACATAATCATGTGTAACCCTAGGGACCGAGTTGTGGACGTTTTCATCACACAGGTCCAAGTCAACCATTAGTAGTTAAGTTAACATCTGTCACAATTCACCTTGTTATACCGCGATGTTTTCTTTATAGATGCTGACAGTCCCCACAGACGCAATCAGAATCTCACTGGACAAACACAGCAGTGTTGAAGTCGCACGCGTTTATGTGCGTGGTCTTCTGTAAATTCATTGTTAAAAACAGGCTCGGCTCACACATCATCAACTCTGTCCACAAGTGCCTCGGACCACACATAATCAACTCACCAACATCCTCGGCCAACACATCTTCAACTCCGTCACCAACAGTCTCGGCCTACACATCATCAACTCACCAACAGCCTCGGCCAACACATCTTCAACTCCGTCACCAAGTGCCTCGACCCACACATCATTAACTCACCAACAGCCTCGGCCCACACATCTTCATCTCCGTCACCAACAGCCTCGGCCCACACATCATCAACTCACCAACAGCCTCGGCCCATACATCTTCAACTCCGTCACCAACACCCTCGGGCCACACATCTTCAACTCTGTCAGCAACAGCCTCGGCCCACACATCGTCAACTCTGTCACCAACAGCCTAGGCCCACACATCTTCAACTCTATCAGCAACATCCTCGGCCCATACATAATCAACTCACCAACATCCTCGGCCCACACATAATCAACTCTGTCACCAACATCCTCGGCCAACACATAATCAACTCTGTCACAAACAGCCTCGGCCCACACATCATCAACTCCCTCAACAACATCCTCGGCCCACATATCGTCAACTCTGTCACAAACAGCCTTGGCTCACAAATAATCAACTCCGTCACCAACATCCTCGGCCCACAAATAATCAATTCACCAACAGCCTCGGCCCACACATCTTCAACTCTGTCACCAACAGCCTCGGCCCACACATAATCAACTCAGTCACCAACATCCTCGGCCCACACATCTTCAACTCTGTCACAAACAGCCTCGGCCCACACATCATCAACTCCCTCACCAACATCCTCGGCCCACATATCGTCAACTCTGTCACAAACAGCCTTGGCTCACAAATAATCAACTCCGTCACCAACATCCTCGGCCCACACATCGTCAACTGTTTCAACAAAAGCCTCGGCCCACACATCTTCAACTCCCTCACCAACAACCTCGACCCACACATCATCAACTTACCAACAACCTCGGCCCACACATCTTCATTTGTCACAAAGACCGCTTCCGTGACCAAGCCGTAAAAAAGATGGTTCTTGTTGTTACCCTGCCTTGCACTCGGCATTAAGGGACTATCACAAGGACTGAGGGGGTTATTTATGTTAAACTGAGGCATGGTATTTCAGTGGTATCCGGACTGGTACACGTAGCCACACATACACAGACACAGACACACACACACAGACACACACACACGCAGACACACACACACAGACACACAGACACACACACACACACACAGAGACACACACACACACATGCATGCGCGTCGTTATATAGGTTATACCCCGTTAAAAGCACATTGCATCCCTACTCACTTCATCTGTCACCAACAGCCTCGGCCAACACATCATGCATATTGATTTGTACTCTGCCCGACGTCTGTTCTACAAAATGGGTTTAGTTGATCCTTGCACAGTCAGGCTGGTGAGGCTTATCATCAGCTCAGGGCACTTGGTCCCTCTACACGCAGCCCGGACAGCGAATGGGACTTCTCCCAGGAAGCGCTGCCTTGTCAAACCCACCCAGAACTTTTCGGAAAATGTGAAGACTCCCCAACACTGCAGACTTCTGCATTACCAGGATTGTCAGAAGGGCTGTATTCCTGGTAGCAAACCCGGGTACTCTCCCAATTTCACTCAACAGGTACCAAATCTAAGACACTGAGAACAATGGAGAATCGGACAACTTGGTACTTTGGGTGTAAGCGTGACATTTCGAAAGCGAGGTGGGCATATTTCCAATGTTTTTCTTGTATCTTGGCAATCACACTAGTGTCAAAAGGGATAGAAAATTCAATGAAATAAATGATTTCATTGGATTTATCACACGATCTGGTTTATTGCCCTGTAAACGGGCCTATCTCAAAGAATTTTGTATTGATCATTTTCCATGACGCCCTCTACATATTCACTGACAATGTGTTTGACAGTCTCATTAAATTCATTACATAATCTACTGTAACATATCATATTTACATTCTGATGCAAAATCACACATTGACGGTTTCGAGTGGGAAATGACTAGTCCTTAACAGCAAGCAGAAAGCCTTCTGTTTCACCTTTCATGCCAGTTGACTTCATCCAAGCGAAGGACTCTGCAAGGTTGCTAATCACCCACTGCACATAAACTCGATGCAATGGTCGTTCAGATAACATCTCCTTAAAACACTGAGTCTTGGCCGATTTGATATGGCACTTCGCGTTGTTGACATTCATTTCTGCACCATCCAGCAGTACAGAACCATCAACAAAATCAACACTGACATTGAGATTATGTCCCACATCCTTTCATCATCTAATTCTTCTACTTCTTCTTCGTGTGCAACTCGTCTGTCTAAAACAGCAATGCATTCAAACATTTACACATATGACAGAAGCCTTACCGATTAAGCGTTAAATATAAACTCACTCACTCACTCCCTCAAACATGCATTAACCACTGCTTACTCAATAGATCAACATTCAAATTGGGAATCTGCAATACTGGCGAAACGTTTGGTTTAGTGATGAACCACGTGTTTTGCTTCGGCGTTGTGATGGAAGAACGACGTTTAAATGGTTTATGCATTAGACGTTTTTTGTCCCAAATCGGCAGGGTTGTCACTTTCTCCTAACTATTTTTGAAGGCATTGTTTTAAGATCGCTCTGAACATGCCGTGTATTTTCCAACACGAAGTGATATCATTCAACCTGAAGTGCGTAAAACCTTCTTTATAAGGTAGTTGAGGTACAGGGCAGTCTGTTGTAAAGTTGTCTTGCACTGAGCACGTATTATTGAAATATGATTATTGAAACGACGAAATCAGACTTGATGTCTGAGTGATGTCATTGCTTTGGACATGGCTTTAGAATCCTCATTATGTTAGACCAAGGCAGGTATGGTATGGGGCTGTAGTAGGCATGTATTTCACCGAACCAGAGGTAATGGTACGATACTGGAAACGTGATGGTAGGTAATGATTTCTGAGGAGTTCTAGAACTAGTGAGGGGACTGCTTCTGTTTTTGCAAGTTCGTGCAAACACATTTCTTATTTATATATGTATTTATATGCTTGTGTATTATATTACATGTTTTGTTTGTTTTCATAGTGTATTTGTTGTGTCTGTGCAGCTAACGACTTATTGTCAATTGAAACGCCCGCTCTCTGGATACTAGCTCATGCTTTAATTCATTTCTAGCTTGGCTTAGCAGTCACATCACACTATTACACTTAGTCTGGAAAGCCCAGTTTGCGGAGGATCATTTCGGATTAACCAGGTTTCATTGTATTTTCCCGAACACTTTCTCTATTTCTTCCGAAACGTATCAGAGTTAGATTTAAACCAAGACAAGAATCACCATCTTCAAGTTGTGGGGACATTAATGTGAACGTACTCGTAAACTTTAAATAATATAAATCAGTTGTAATTTGAGCTATGTAATCTTATTACTCATGTTTGCATTTTGAATGTAGTCTTGATATTGATATCCTGCTGTCTGTTTTTGTGATTTTCCATGAAATTCATATGATTGTAATCATGAAAATCTTGTATTGTTACATTTCCATCCCACTTACGAAAGCGTATACCAGAACAGAAAAACCCTACTTTTAGTAAATTGTGTAGCACATTATATGATATTGAGATCAGAACAATATGTGGAACATGTTTAAGAAAGAACTGTTTTCCTAAAGTCAGTAATTCTACTCGAAAAACTTTCTGATTTGGTGTTGTTTTATGTCCTTATGTTGTGTTTTATTTTTCAAATAAAAAGTCATACAAGTTGTTTATTCTCTATTCGTGTGCGTGCGTGTGATTGTGCGCGTGTGTCTGCGTGTGTGTGCTTTCGTTCGTGCATGTGCGTGTGTGCGAACGTGCGTGCGTGCGTGCGAGCGTGCGTGCGTGCGTGCGTGCGTGCGTGCGTGCGTGTATTCATTTAACGGATATATTCTTGAGTCGTATACGAAAAGTTGCGATACTCGCGGGGTTTCACATGAAATAATGCCAGAGTTTATTTCCAGGCTCATACTTTAGGGGCGACATCAGGGGTTGTATAGGGGTCACATAAGAGGTCGTGCCAGAGTGTATTTGCAGGGTCATACTATAGGGGCGATATCAGGGGTTGTATCAGGGTTCACACAAGAGGTTACGCCAGAGGTTATTTTCAAAGGTTGCACTTTAGGGGCGATATCAGGGGTTGTATCAGGGGTCACACAAGAGGTCATGCCAGAGGTTATTTTAAGGGTTGTACTTTAGGGGCGATATCAGGGGTTGTATCAGGGGTCACCCAAGAGGTCGTGCCAGAGGTCATTTCAAGGGTTGTACTTTAGGGGCGGAGTGGTTATATTTTTGTTGCCATGTGTTTATAGATAACGAGTTATTGTCAATGTAAACACATGCTTATAAGAACCATTTTTTTCATCATATATTTCCTTCTGTAATAATGACAATAGAAGAGATTGCTTCACTCTATTTCTAGCTGGGGCTTATTGTCATGTCAAACTATTAACCCGTCAGCCATGGCAATATATAACCTAGGTACTTGTAAATGTCAGGTCTGAATACAATCAGTGTGTATCACAGGCAGTGACGATGTGTGACGTGGTTAACATGTATATGTCAGGTCTGAATACAATCAGTGTGTATCCATGCCATCACAATATGTAACCTGGGTACTTGTATATGTTAGGTCTGAATACAATCAGTGTGTATCACATACTGTGACGATGTGTAACGTGGTTAACTTGTATATGTCAGGTCTGAATACAATCATGTTACTCCCTGTCATCACGGACGTCGGTGTTACGACATTGTGGACTGATCATGTTACTCCCTGGCATCACGGACGTCGTTGTTACGACATTGTGGACTGATCATGTTACTCCCTGTCATCACAGACGTGAGTGTTATGACATTGTGGACCGATCATGTTACTCCCTGTCATCACAGACGTGAGTGTTACGACATTGTGGACCGATCATGTTACTCCCTGTCATCACGGACGTTGGCGTTACGACATTGTGGATGGACGATGTCTGCCATGTGTCATGTGTCAACTTGTGAAG